CTGCTGTTGGTTCAGCACCTTATCACCTGTCTCGGGAAAGGGCGCGGCGAGAAGAGAGGAAGGGCCAAGCGGAGGGGAGAGGAGGAGGCTAGGGGGAGGAGGGGGGGGTCCGAGCTGCCGTGCCTCCTCCCTCCACCGCCCCTGCCTAGTGCCTGAATAGTGCCCGAATAGTGCCCGAATAGTGCCCGAAATAGTGCCCGAAATAGTGCCCAAATGAACCCCTCATAGTGCCCAAATGAATTTCTCTTGTAAAGGAAAACAAAATCTGTCTTTTTTCGCAAGAAAAATCATTTGGGCACTATGAAGGGTTCATTTGGGCACTATTTCGGGCACTATTTCGGGCACTATTCGGGCACTATTCAGGCACTAGGCAGGGCAGGGCAGGGCAGGGCGGGGCGGGGCGGGGCGGGGCGGCGCGGGACGGGGCGGGGCGCGGGGCGGGACGGGGCGGGGCGGGGCGGGGCGGGGCGGGGGAGGGCGGGGTGGGGCGGGGCGGGGCAGGGCCGGGCCCCGCCGGGCCGGGCAGGGCAGGGCAGGGCAGGGCAGGGCGACTATCACGCCTTCACCTGCAAAGCCACCCAGGCCAGCTGGCTAAAACCGCGCCGCGAGGTGCTCAATGCCCAGCAGGCATGCCGAGGCAGCAGCCACGCCTGCATCAGTCACAACCTGTCGCAAGCAAGATCTGCGCACCTCATGAGTTCACTGCAAGCGAGCGCTTGTGGAAGCATTTCTTGTTTCAGAAGCCAGGGTATGCAAACGAAACCCGCGTTTCGTGACGCTGTCCGAACCATGTGTGCGCAATTTGGCGATGGCTGATGGCAGCGAAGCATCCGGTGAGCCCCAGCCCTTGGCAAATGGCCCGGAGCAACACCTAGACGCAGATGGCAGTGCAGAACCCGGTGAGCGAGCTGTCCTGCAACCTCAACAACACCCAGACGGACCCGTCGAGCTAGACGAGACAACCGAGGTGCGCGTGCGAGGTGCCATCGCCGAACTTTTGCCCAGCGTGGATCTGCAGCAGGTGAGCGTTTATGACTTTCGCTGCCAAATCGCACGCCATCTTGGTTTCTGGCGCAAAGGCTTAGAAGCCGCCGCTGACCAAGTGAATCTCTGGATTCGCGAAGCCGTGGACAACCGTGTGGCGCGTGCGCAACAAAGCCCCGAGCAGCGCATGGAAGCCATGCTGGACATACTCGGCTCCGAGGATGAATCTAAGAAGACACAAGTCCACTTTCTCACATTTGCGCGTCTCTTGCCGGGCACGGCAGAGCTTCGCGATCTGCGAGATTTGGAAGCGATGTCGCGCGAAGACCTTGCTTGCTGCGTTTGGAAGGCTTTTGACGAGCCTGTAGCTGCAGGTCGTGGCCGCCCTCCAGGTGCTACACAGCTGGTTCGCAAACTCGTCGTTTTTCGAGAAGAGCATGCGGACGGCATGCATCATTTCCACGTCGCGGTCTTGCTGCGACAATCGCGTAGCTTCGTTGCCGCAAAGCGCACCCTGCGTGAGCGAGACCACCTCGCTGCGCACTTTTCCGCTTCGCACACTGGCTTCTGGAGCGCGGTCCGATATGGACACATCCCCACGGCCAAGAAGCCCGAGGTGGATGCCAACCCCGTATCCTGGTCAGAAGATGGCGGTTGGGGTGCGCTGGACTTGTTTGCCGAGTCGCAGAGACCATGGATGGCTGAAGTCTGGAAGCGTAGACACGAGGACCTTTGGTTTGGGCTGAAAAGTGTTCTTGTGCATCGGAGTCCTTGCGTTTTTGCGTGCAGGTTTCTGGCATAATGTTCCGTAATGAGACCTAGCTCAACCTTGGACTTACAGGAGTCCGCAAAAACGGCCAGCGGAAGCCAACAGAGCTCCAAAAGGCCGAAGTTCAACAAATTGGATTTGACTTCCATCATGCTGGCGAAGAACTTGACGACCAAGGCTGCCGTGCTGGCATATGCCCAAGACCATGGCACGGCCGAGATGCAGGTCTTCGTTCACGCGCATCAGAGAAAGCTTGCGGACTTTCTGCAAGAAGCCGCCGACTGGGGAATGGCACGCTCCGCGGCAGCGGCCGAAAAAGATCTGGACTGGGATCTGGTCTGCCGTACAGCGCAGGAAGCCTGCCCACATGATGGGAGCTGCACCTATGCCGCAGCCGTGCAAGCGTTCTTCTCGGCCAATGCAGCGTGTGTGTCGCAGCAGGAGCTGGCAACGGCCCTGCGGGCGATCATTCGCTCAGGCCCTTCGAAGACAACACGGGTGCCGCTTCTTGCAGGTCCCACGAATTCTGGGAAGACAACCATCTTGCTTCCCTTTGATGATCTTTTCGGGTTCAAGCACGTTTTCCACAAGCCTGCATTGAACTCCAAGTTCGCGCTTCGCAATCTGTTGAAAGAGAAGCGGTTCTTGTTCTGGGATGACTACAGACCTGTGGAATACGCCCAGGAGACTCTACCAGTCACTGCGTTTTTGAGCTTGTTTCAGGGCCAGCCCCTCGAGGTGCAAGTCTCGCAGGCCTTCAACGATGGCAATGTGGACTTTGAGTGGCATCGTGGATGCATTATGACCGCCAAGTCCGAGGGCCTCTGGGTGCCATATGGTAGCGTCTCCCAGGAAGATGTGCGCCACATGCAGAGCCGTGTCCATGTTTTCACGGCCACCGCCACCGTCCGTCATCTCCAGGACACGCAGCCCTGCAAGCAGTGCATGTGCGCGTGGATCCGCGACGCGGCAGCGCAGCACGATGCAGAGCAGGTGGTCCGTGTCGTGGGGCCGCCCAGAGCCGTGGAACCAGCATCAGAAGCTGCGGGTGTGGCTGGACTTGCAGCTCTATGTGTGCAAGCCCGCCTGCCCGCGGAGAAGATGCAGCACATGGATGCCGAGCTCCACGCTTTGGGTGCCGTGCATGTGACGGAGCTTAGTGTAGAAGATTGGAGGCGCTTGCAATCTTGGGGGGAGTTGCTGCCTTTCGAGCAGCGCCGCCTCCTGTCGGCAGTCAGCAGCTAAAGCGCTGTCTGATCACCTGGTGTCGAGGAACGAAAGAGTCGTGCGGTCGGCCACGGCAAAACTGTGCGCCAGCTGCACCACGAGCCTTTCAAACTTAATCGCTGTGCCAGGCGGCGGATTTCGGGAGAGCGCTTTGGTCTGCCTTTGCTTTGGGTCCCAGAAAGCCGGTCTATGTCATCTGCAAATGCAGGAAAAACCGCTTCAGGTTAACGCCACCGATGCTGTGGATGTTGACTGGCAGGGTTACAAACGTGCGAACCATTACCTGCTCCTTTCATTCGCAGCGTCACGAAACTCCGCAAGTCTAGCAGAAACCTGGACGTCTGGGCCTTCCGCAGAGCCGGAGGATAAGCGCGAAGTGATGGCTACGTGATGGGCTGAAAGACAACCGAAGGCGCGGAAAAATGTTTGAAGACCACAGGGAGCATTGACTAGCTGGAGATGCTCAAGCCCGCCGAAAGTTCGACCAAAATGGTGTTAAGTTTTGAGGCAAAGATTGCGGCGAGCCTGTTCTAGAGGTGCAAAAACCGTAGGACAGATTGTAGCGACGCAATGTCTCTTTCAAAATGTAAGACCGTGTCATACACCATTTTTTTCGAACTTTCTGCGGGGTTTAGGATCTCCAACCCCAGAGAAACTTCGACAAAAACCTTAGAGCTGACAGTTTTTGAGGTTACATACGCGCCGCACCGTAGGAAACTCTTCCGACAAGCAGAGGCACAGAGGAGGAGCTGCGCGAGCAGATCTTGGTGTTGTGCAGAGACGTGCAAGAGTCAGGGTGCTGGAAGGTGGCACAACACATGCTTACATCACAAACTTGGAGGACGAGAGCCGCGCTGCGTGAAATTTCCCTTTCCATGCGTATGCACTGTGCACAGCATGCGACTTCTCCGAGCTTTTGCAACCGTTCTGAAGTGTCTTCAGTGCTGCTATGTCCTTCTGACCTCAGCTTGTGCTGACTGTTGGGCTTGGAACGCCGGCCAGGCAGGTGGAAGGTGGGATGGCTGAGGCTACAAGGCAGAGCTTGGAGAGTGGAAGTTTTTGGAGGTCACGATGCGTGAAGGTCTACAGGCACGCTGCACTCCCTGTCACGGCCCAGTTGACCAGAGGTTTGGCCAGTTCCCGTGCTGACGGCCGCGCTGTGCAGAAGAGGCGGGCTTTGACACAAGTGGAGGGTGGAACAGCTGCCCAGGCAGCGCTCTGAACACGAAGGTCTAGGAGTGTAGGAATGCCTGCAGGCAGTGGAAGCTCTTCAACGCACTTGTGAGCAGGTGTTGCCAGCTCCCGTGACGACGGCCGTGCTGTGCAAGACCAGCGTCAAAATGTGCTGCGGATAGTTTCTTGTCTCTGGAAGCAGCTGCCGTCCGTACTTGCAGCCTTTCCCGCTCCATGTGTCTTTGCTTCGGCCTCCGTTTCCAACCAAGTCATTAAATCCAGCTAGACTCTCGTATTCACGCTTGAATCCAGATTTCCCCGCACCCCCTTAATTTCAATGTTGCAGTGGACAGTCTGCTGCTGCTGTGAGGGGGCACTGCCGGTCTGGCTGGCTGGAAGAAACGAACATTGAATTTGGGGGGCGGGGGGGCCAATCTGTATGATTTTGTAACATTGGGTGAGGCTACTTTCTGCTTCGGATGCAGAGGAAAAGTCCAGGACCAGTTTCGGTACCCTGCGAGTTGTGCAGGGCTCTGCGGGACAAGTCATCCATCATATGCACCTGTTCGTGTTGGAATGACGGGGCCGTGATGCAATGCTATTTTGGCTTCTGCAGTTTTTTCCTCTGCTGTCTGTAGCTCGCTGGCCAGTTCTCGTGGACCCTGCCTCATGGGAGAGGCGGCCGAAGACATGGAAGAGTGGGGCGGCCGTGCCGAAGGCAGGGCTGATGGCGGCGGCAACCGTGGCGGCGAGGCACCAGCTGTGCAGGACTGGTTGGGCATGCCAAGGTTTTTGCTGTTTTTGTTAGTATCTCACACAGTAGGTTTGGTAATTGGTTCTGAGCCAGGCATTACGCAGAGTACAGAAATGCATGGCGTCGGTGAGAAAAGCTTTGAGTCGATCCAAAGCACGTGCGGCGACGCTGCATTTGACCGTGCGGGAAGCGAGCATCGTGTTGGCGATATATTTGTTGTCGCGGTACAATCTCAATGCTGTGGCATTGTATGTGGCTTCAAGAAATGCGGTCCGGCAGCAACCGAGCCACAGTGCAGCAGAGGTGCGTGAGTTGACAGAAAGCCTGTACTTAGAAACTTCCATCGACGAACTGATTGCTTTGGAGTGTGGGGAACCTGGAAGACACGCGCGTGTCCGACACGCAGCAGTGTCGTTTTTGGCGGAACTGCGAACAGTTGAATGGTTGGAGTCTCAAAACATGCTCGGCGCCGCCCCTAGCTCGGCTGCCATGGCCAGCAAGCATCTGATGTTTTGCGAAGCTTTTCATGACTCCCGGTGGGACGGTGCGCTGGCGAGGGCGGTCCACAACAATTCGCTGAATCACAGCGCTGGGCGGTACTTGCGCAAGTGGTCTGCAGACTTCAGCGAACGCTGGAATGTTGCTTTTCGAGTGCGTTCGGTGAAGCCTCCTGCACCTTGCGCAGAGCTTGCGGCGCAGGTCTGCGAAGAAAACATTGAAGCCTCGAATCGGCTTCAGAAGTCCCCGGATAGTATATGGGCGCGTGAGTAATGAAGCCAAATTGTTGTGGCCCTGCAAATTCTGACACCATGGTGGCCTCAAACATGGTGCTCCTTTAGTTGCTCTGGGTCCTCTGACTCTTTGTGTTCAGGTAAAAAAAAACTCTGTGGCATGGGTTTCTTGGCTTACGCACGGCTGTATTCGGCTTTGGCAAGATCCAATCTTGCCTGAACTTGGTTGAGCTACTTACCCTGGGCCCTGGCCTCCCTTGCTGGGCCATGTTTCTTCGCAGACCAGAGTGACGGGCGCGAAGCGCCCAGGGAGGCTTTAACTATACGCCCATCATCTGCACGAATGAAGCTTTGCAGCCCTTGCTGCCCCGTTTCCTTGTGGCCAAGCGTTCTGTTCTCAGCGCTCGAGCAGTGCGGACCGTTTCTGCTCAGAAGCCGGACAACCTACATATTTGGCGTGAGGCAAGCGCGTGGTCAACGGTTCGGGTGATGAAACGTGTACTCGAGGAACTGTCACATGTAATGGCTGCTTTCCCGGCCTTCCAAGCAATCTTGCTTCTGGATTGTCATGCTTCCCACATTCACCCCGACACGGTGCGCGCCGCGAACAACAGCAACATCTGGATGGCTGTCATTCCAGCAGGCCTAACTGGGCTGATTCAGCCTTTGGACACACTGGCCTTTTCGGCTTTCAAGTTCCATCTCAAACAGCAATTTCAGATGGGTCTGGGAGAGAGCGAGACACTGCCAGAGGATTTTTTACGCCGAGTCTTTGCTTTGAGCCAGACCTTTTTCAATGGAAGGAAATGGAAGGCAGGTTTTGCGTCTTTGGGGTTGGAGCCGGAGGCCCCTGTTCGCTTATCGCGTGATCTTCGACCATATCAAGAAGCCCTCGCGCTGGTACCTTCAAGTGCGCCCACTGGCGACCAGCTTGCTTCAATTTTTCCTCGTAATTACGTCTTGACAGATGATCTTTTCGACGCATGGACTCGTCTTCCGCGTGGTCGGCACCTGCGTTTGCGCTTGGTTTGAGGCGCGCCGGTAAAGGCTGAACTCGGGGGGTACTGTTTCATGTCCTCTAGACTTGTTCCAGTCCGCGAGGCTACTTTCTGGCACGGACACACGGTAGAAAAAACAGCCCAGCGGAGTCTGCAGGGTGCTGCTAAAATGCGTCTGTGCGTCAAACCTGGCAGGAGAGCTTGGACACGCAGCTCGCCCGCCTGAAACAGGCTAGAAAGGATCTGAAAGAATCCATGAAGAGGGCGACTCGGGCATTGAAGAGCGCGAAGCAGAAGAAGCAAAGGCGCCTTCTCTGCAAGAAGTTTTGCCCCTAACAAGCACCAATACATGTTAATCGGAGGCTGCTCAAGCAAGCGCGGCGCCTGTCAGATGCAGATTTGAGCGAAGTGGTGAGAATGCGGCTGGGAGGGTGAACGTGCGGTGTTTCTGTAGCTTGTCGTGGGCTTTGTCTTGCCCTAGCAATGTACAGAATGCCCGTGTGGAGATCTGTATAGGATGCTTGCAGGCCGTCCTGCAGCAGTGTTTCTGCTCCTCGCTTGGCGTGCTGGGCGTTGTCTTTGCCGCAGCACTGTAGAGAAGTGCTCGTTTTAGGATCTGTACAGATAGATGCTTGCAGGCCGTCCTGCGGTAGTGTTTCTGCTCTGGCGTGGTGGGCGTTGTCTTTGCCATTCTTTGCCGCACCAATGTACAGAACGCCCGTGTACATATCTGTACAAATAAGATGCTTGCAGGCCGTCCTGTGTGTTGTAGCCTTCCCCGCGAGCCACAGCGCCGTACAGTAGAGCACAGAGCTGCACTCGTGAACTCTTTGCAACCTACCAGACCTGCTGGGTACTCACAAACGCGCAATGCTGCAATGACATGTATTGTGGCTGCAAGTCTGCTGCGGTGAGCGTCTTGTAACTTAGAGTAGCTTCTGGCTTGTTTAGAACGGGATGCGTGCACTGTTGTGTGCTTCACGCCCGACTCTTCAAGCTGCAACACACTACTGTGACTGCCACAGCCAGAAAGCGTCCCAGGGCACGAGACTGTCACTGCATTTCACCGCCATAGTTGGCATGGTCTGTGGCTTGCTTATGTCTGACTGCTCAGAAGGGTTTTGGAACTGCTGCAGAAATCTCAGGGACCATCCGCGTCCTGGCACACCTCGAAACACGAACACGCGAAACAGATCCTGAGATCCGCATGAAGCTTTTGATGGCCACTGCGGCAGGCCAGACTTCAGAAAGCATCCAACTGTTCAGTAGAGTTTTCGACAGCATCCAACTGTCCAGCCGCCTGCATTGTTTGATTTCAGCTGCCTCGTGCGGCTGGAGGCATCCATCTACCTGGCAGCCTGCAAAGTTCGACGTTTGGAAGCCGTCTCAGTGTGTCTCAATGCTCGGAGGGCATGCAGCCTGCAGACTTTGATGTTTGGTAGGTTGGCCACCAGAGTTCAGAAAGCATCCAACTGTCCAGCAGAGTTTCATGTTTGGTGGAAACTAGAATTGGAGAGCATCCAACTGTCCAGCCGCCTGCAGAGTTTGATGTTAGCTGCCTCGTGCGGCTGGAGGCATCCATCTACCTGGCAGCCTGCAAAGTTCGACGTTTGGAAGCCGTCTCAGTGTGTCTCAGCGCTCGGAGGGCATGCCGCCTGCAGACTTTGACGTTTGGTAGGTTGGCCACCAGAGTTCAGAAAGCATCCAACTGTCCAGCAGAGTTTCATGTTTGGTAGAAACTAGAATTGGAGAGCATCCAACTGTCCAGCCGCCTGTAGAGTTTGATGTTAGCTGCCTCGTGCGGCTGGAGGCATCCATCTACCTGGCAGCCTGCAAAGTTCGACGTTTGGAAGCCGTCTCAGTGTGTCTCAGTGCTCGGAGGGCATGCAGCCTGCAGACTTTGACGTTTGGTAGGTTGGCCACCAGAGTTCAGAAAGCATCCAACTGTCCAGCAGAGTTTCATGTTTGGTGGAAACTAGAATTGGAGAGCATCCAACTGTCCAGCCGCCTGTAGAGTTTGCTGTTAGCTGCCTCGTGCGGCTGGAGGCATCCATCTACCTGGCAGCCTGCAAAGTTCGACGTTTGGAAGCCGTCTCAGTGTGTCTCAGCGCTCGGAGGGCATGCAGCCTGCAGACTTTGACGTTTGGTAGGTTGGCCACCAGAGTTCAGAAAGCATCCAACTGTCCAGCAGAGTTTCATGTTTGGTGGAAACTAGAATTGGAGAGCATCCAACTGTCCAGCCGCCTGCAGAGTTTGATGTTAGCTGCCTCGTGCGGCTGGAGGCATCCATCTACCTGGCAGCCTGCAAAGTTCGACGTTTGGAAGCCGTCTCAGTGTGTCTCAGCGCTCGGAGGGCATGCAGCCTGCAGACTTTGACGTTTGGTAGGTTGGCCACCAGAGTTCAGAAAGCATCCAACTGTCCAGCAGAGTTTCATGTTTGGTAGAAACTAGAATTGGAGAGCATCCAACTGTCCAGCCGCCTGTAGAGTTTGATGTTAGCTGCCTCGTGCGGCTGGAGGCATCCATGTACCTGGCAGCCTGCAAAGTTCGACGTTTGGAAGCCGTCTCAGTGTGTCTCAGTGCTCGGGGGGCATGCAGCCTGCAGACTTTGACGTTTGGTAGGTTGGCCACCAGAGTTCAGAAAGCATCCAACTGTCCAGCAGAGTTTCATGTTTGGTAGAAGCTAGAATTGGAGAGCATCCAACTGTCCAGCCGCCTGCAGAGTTTAATGTTAGCTGCTTCGTGCGGCTGGAGGCATCCATGTACCTGGCAGCCTGCAAAGTTCGACGTTTGGAAGCTGTCTCAGTGCCTCTGAGTGCTCGGAGGGCATGCAGCCTGCAGACTTTGACGTTTGGTAGGTTGGCCGCCAGAGTTCAGAAAGCATCCAACTGTCCAGCAGCTTGCAGGGTTTCATGTTTGTTCGCGTGCACAGCGTTTTTAAGCTTTTGAGGCATCGAACTACCCAGCAGCCTGCGAACGACGTAGGGTTGGTTCCTCAGATCGCCACTACTTGACAGCTTGCACAGTTGGACGTTTGGTCGATCAGCCAGAGTTTGGACGTCTCACTACCCAGCATGCAGAGTTTCATGTTTTTGAGCCTTGCGCCATCGAGCTTGGAGGGCATCCCACTTCTCGTAGCTTGCAGAGTTTCGCTTGGTCGCCTGTTGAACCAGAGTTTGGAGCATCCAACCTGCGAAGTTCAACGTATTGTGTGTGGGTGAGTGAGAGAGACGAAGAGAGAGATATAGAGGGGAGTATGCCTGCATCTGCGAATGCGTGCGTGCGTGGCTGCGTGGCTGGGTGGCTGGGTGGCTGAGTGGGTGGGTGGGTGGGTGGGGGGGTGGGCGCGTCAGTGAGTCATGGAGTGACTGCGTGACTCGTGGTCTGTGCATTGGCAAATTTTTTCGAAACGGCACGAAAGTGTTGCAAAAACCCAGACAGAACGAAGAAAGAAACGTCCGAAAACGTGGAAAAACATTTTCCGAATGCAGTGGTAGTGAATGTGCGGGTTTGGAACCGCGGCCTATGCAAGGCTAACATGCTGTGAAAGTGTTGCTAAAGACAAGAAGAAGCGAAGCAAAATCTAGCCGAAGGCTTCAAAAGCAATTTTTCGGCAGGTTTCTGCAAGAAATGCGCGGTTTTTAAATCGTAGTCTGTGCGTTGGCAAATTTTTTTCGAAACGGCACGAAAGTGTTGCAAAAACCCATACAGAACGAAGAAAGAAACGTCCGAAAACGTTGAAAAACATTTTCCGAATGCAGTGGTAGTGAATGTGCGGGTTTGGAACCGTGGCCTATGCAAGGCTAACCTGCTGTGAAAGTGTTGCTAAAGACAAGAAGAAGCGAAGCAAAATCTAGCCGAAGGCTTCAAAAGCAATTTTTCGGCAGGTTGCTGCAAGGAATGCGCGGTTTATAAATCGTAGTCTGCGCGTTGGCAATTTTAGCGAAACGGCACGAAAGTGTTGCAAAAA